GCCTTACTTCTTGCTTATCTCACACTGCGAATTTTTTCTAAGCTCTATACTAAAGATTAAATCTGTTACGAAAAAAGAACTAAACAAAATGAACACAAAACGATCAGCTTTAAAAAAGGACTCGTAACTGGAAAAACAGAATGAAAATAGAATGTTAACAACAAATACTTTTTCACGCCCAACTCAGTTCTGCGGAATCAGAATCAACGTTGAGTTTAAGCAAGCGAATGAGCCAATTGGAGTAAAGTGCCATGCAGATTTAAATTTTTCCCACTTGTGACGAATGCAGCTATCGATTTTTTGCATGCTAGTTAACATTCATGTCAGTCAGCTGTTGGCTCTCACGCTGGCCAATAGAATCTTCCTGCCTATTCGTGGCAGCCAGCTCTTGGCTCTCACTCTAGTCAGTACAAAATGGCCGCAAACTACATGAAAACAGCCGTAGAAGCATGAAAAAATCGATTATTTCCACTATCGATGGGAATTGGGAAATGCAAAGTCGGTGTTGGCCTTTCCCGCTAAATTGGAGTATGTGCATGTAAAATTTGGTGCAAATCGGTCTTGCATTCGTTACAAACACACACAGACATCCTGCCTTTTATAGATAGAGATGCGTGGTACTTATAGACTCTGTGATAGAGCTAACATATTCAGTTATTATAAATTGTTAATACGCATTGAAACACGACTGCATTTGTGTAGCGTTTTTTACATGTTTTTGATGTAATATCGTAAAATAAATATATATATATATATATATATATATATATATATATAAAGATTTGTATCCACAGAACATCAGAATAGATTTAAATAACAGGGACGCCATTTTATTAATCAAACCTCTTTTTTATAGACATACAGCACCTGAGATATCTTTCGGCCAACACTTATTCATAGGTAACGCGTTGGCACATTATTTATTAGTATAAAGAGGACACATATATTGAAATATTTACTAAAATGGAAGAAGAGTCCGAGCTCGTTTAAAATTAAATTTATTGAAAATATAATTAAAACGTAAGGGGTGGGGTGTAAATCTCTGCTTGGAAAGAGTTAATAAAAGGGAAAAAATTTTTAACTCACAATCCTTCCAAGAGTTTTAATGATCTTGTGAATTGGCATAAATTTGGACGATGTAATTTTAAATATACAGCTTCCAAAACACGTAAATGAAATTCTGTTTGGACGCTGTGCAGGACAGAGAACCAAGTGTCATGATAAGCAGAGACACAGTACGGGTTGTCCATCAGATGTTGGCCAATAACCGACTCCTGTACCGACTGAGAAACTCTATTCCTGTGTTTGTGATTACGTAGATGTGAGGGAACATGCTGAGAAACACGCGTTTCCAAACGAAGACTACTCCTTCCTATAAATAGCGAATCACATCGGCACTTAAATTGATAAATCACTGAATTTTTACTTAAATAGGACAGTCTATCCTTCATTTCGCTTTTCGAGGTTTCAGTCATCCGCTTAATAAACAATACTTTTTTTCTTTAGTTATTGTTTCAAAGCGCAAGATACTGTTGCTGCAAAGCGCTTCCTCGACATGAAAAGGTAAACGTTCTTAATTTTATAACGAAAACAATTTGTATGTTGAGGTTTCTAAGATCTACGGTAAGAACGAATCTTCTATCCGTCACATAATTTTTATTATTGTCTGTTGTTATGATCGTTCTATTTTATTATTAATGATAATTACTCTCTTGTGGTTAATTTATTATTTACACTCTATTGAGTTCCTTGCACGTGTGAAAAGCGAATCATCGCTTTCTCTCTCTGTCGAATAGACATTTACTTAACCCTTTCACATCAACGCTTATAATCTTCCGCCATTCACCAGTTTTCATTTTGACTTAATCTCTCTTGGTATTCTACATTGGCTGAGAAACCCATCTCTAGAAATAAGACGACGACGTGTTGCTCCCAAATCGAACATCACCTCAGTACATCAATATTTGGCTGGGGTGTGCTTTGTAACACCTAGTTTTGGTTTTTTTTTCTTTTCCACAATAATGTTACAAGATAAAGTGCTGGGACTGTCGTTTGTTGCCTAGAATGTTTCGAGACACGACTGGAGACATTTTTGTCATGGTATCTAACAACAGTGAGGCTAATTAATACTGACATGAAGGCAGATAAAGGAACCGTTTATATTTGTGTAAACCAGTACTGATAGGGAAAGAAAGACAGTGTTATTTAATGAGAAAAGAACGGTAGTAAAACACGATTTCTATTGACAGTGATCCCAGTAATCTATAGAAACATGTTTTTTGTTTTTTTTAATCTACATTCATTAGTATTGCTTGCCTATCATCATCGCTTGAAGGATGTAAAAAAATATAAAACAAAATTGGCGGCCGGCGCCACCATAAGCAATACGGTCTTATACATAAAGAGAATGTACGTTTTTGCAGGTTTTGGTTCTTCTTGTAGCTTATACTTAGTCCTTTCTTCTTGCTTTCCTTCGCTATCAACTGTAGGAAAAAGAATGAGTTCAAAATGCAACTAAATACTAAAATCAAATAAGTAGAAAAATTTAAATATCTGAGGACGAAAAGTGTGATACTGAGATTCTAAAACGTATTGGGATGGCCAAAGATGCCTTCCAGTAGCTAAGCAGAGTATTAAGAAACAGAAAAAAAACTGCATTAGAAACAACGAAAAACGTACTGAACTGTTACGGGGTATCTGTCCTCTTGTATGGCAGCGAATGCTAGACAATCTTCTCAAAGATGAAGAAATGACTTGGATCAACAGAAATATTGTTCTACAGTAAAATACTGAGGATACCATGAACCGAACATACAACGAGTTTTTTAAGAAAAAGAAAACTAAAAGGAAACTTATACTTAACATTAAGAAGAGGCAATTGAAATTTTGAGGGGGGCGGGCATGTAAGGAGGAGGGGGCTTGGAAAATCTGATACTCATGGGACAGATAGAGGAAGAGAGGGACTGAGGAAAGCAGCGCCTAACATACTTGATGGCTTTGGGTAAATGGATGGTAGAACAGGGTTTTGGAGAAGTAACAAAAAGTCAAAACTTATTAAGAGCTACAAAGGACAGGAAGATGTGAAGGGCCATGACCGGTTACGTTCTGGAGGAACACGGACCAGATATTTTGGTTTGGTTTAATCATCAAATAATTATGGTCACTGCATCCAGGGAGTTATAGGCGGGTTGAGGAAGTTTCATCACCCCCTTCTTTTTGCTGCAACTGAGATCAAAACTAATCGATGACATGCCTACTAAGCTGAGATCTCTCGTTTGCCTAAAAATACTATTACCAAAAAATAAACTAGAAAAAGTCATTTTGCGGGTCATTGTTTTTATGGGTTCTTTTTCTGAAATATTATCTTACAAAACTTTCATATAAGTCTTATAATTATTTACACTATTTACATGGTTCGGACTGTTCTCATCTTTGTTGCCATACTCACGACATTTCGGCTGTTGTACGCTCCGGCCTTCTTCAGGCTTTGTCTATATTTCTGAGATGAGGTATTGTGACTATTTGCACTATTTATATTTTTAGGACTGTTGTCCTCATCTTCTTTCCATATTCACTACGTTTCGGTTGTTGCACGCTCCGGTTTTCTTCAATTACCTGAAAAAGGCCGGCGCGTACAACGGCCGAAACGTTATAAATATGGCAATACAACAATACATTTTATCTGTAGTTGAAGGCATACAATTGTGTTCAAAATATATTTAGTTGAAGCCATAAAATTATGTTCAAAATATTTAGATTTTGGCATTAAATATATGCCGTTAAATAACCAAAAATGATATTTATAGTTAAAGAAAAATACAACCAAACAATTTTGTTCAAAATATTTATAGTTAAATAACCCATGACCAAAAAAATAACAAATTTTATTTATAGTAAATGACAACGATCTTCAAAAATATAAATGAACCGTCGTCAATGTTTGTCATCTGTCCCCTTGAACGCTGCTGTTTTATTGTTCACTCTCCTCATTTTCCTCATTGTTTGACGCTCAATAACCCTTCGCGTCGGAGTGGCTTTATCTGGGTTTTTTTAAACATTTCAACCAAAGCATGACAATAAAGCCGACAGGATGCAAAGTGTTACTGAGAGTGAAAGAAACAGAGGACAATAAAAAACAAACAAAAAAAAACAGAATTCAAGGAGGCAGAAGATGGCAACTGACACTGCATTTAAATTTTGGAAGATCGTAGTTGACAGGAAAGCAGGAAACCGGAAGCGAGTTCCACAAGCGAGAAGTGCGAGAGAAAAAGTATTTGCATACTTTTTAAATTTTTCATCACATCCAATGAAACGCGTGTGTGCGTATGTGTGTGTGTGCCTTTGTGTGTGCGTATGTCTGTGTCAATTTAATTCTCGAACTGACCGTTGCGTGTCGCTCCATTAGTGATGATTTTCTAAGCGTACCTTGGATGTGGCGCAAGGCCGAAAGTGTTGAGCGCCCAGTGAGGAATCATCTCACTACTCAATCGTAATTCATTTAGCGGGACAAGCTTGCTAACAATTAAACCACGTCGAAGTGAACAATTGATTTTCTAAGCGTAGCTTAGATCTGGCACAAGGCCAAATGTAAGGAATACCCAGTGATGATCGAATCTCACTATTCAGTCGTAACTGATTTAACGAGACAAGTGCCCGATTCGCTGCGTTAACCCTTTGATCCCTGACCACCGCTTTACCGGTGGTAGAGAAAAATGACGTAATAACCAGCCACCGGTTGAATGGTGGTAGAGAAAAATGACATAATGCCCAGCCACTGGTTGAACAAGGGTAGAGAAAAATGACGTAATGCCCAGCCACTGGTTGAACAAGGGTAGAGAAAAATGGCTTAATGCCCAGCCACCGATTGAACGGGGGGTAAACACTTGTAACTCTTTTTATATTTACCGTGAAACATTACATACCAATTATTTGCGACTTTTGACTCGGGAGCTCAAACAGAAGGGTTAAACTTGTTCAGGAACGCAGGGCTCAAAGGGTTAATGAGTCAGGGAAACATTTATACCCAAACAGCTTCGCGTTCTTCATATGCTGACGAAATGGGTTATTCATTGCCGAGCAGTAGCGGAAGTTGCACGTATTTGTTATACTGTAAGCATCTGAATCAAACAGATTAACATCAATTTTGATTTTTTAAACATTCGTAAAAATTCTTGAAAGATACAGGCGGGTCAAGGGAGTGCGAATTGTATCTGAAGACGCAAGAATCAGGGAGTAAGTAACAGAAGTAAATGTTTATTTACAAATGCCCAAGGACAGATGGCCCAGTAGATAAAGACGTTGGTTAGATCCAGTGACTAGACCCAAAGAGTTGTGAGTTCAGTACCAGGCCACAGCAGTGGTGAATCCAAAATTTGAAGAGTTGAGTTAAAGGGAAAATAATTGAGACATACGATAGAGGCATGGCCCGTGGAACAAGAACAATCTATCCCAGTGGACGAAATAAAGGTTTCCGTTCCAAATTCCAATCACCTGAAGAAGGCCGAGAGCGTACGAAAGCCAAAACATTGTGGATATGGCAATGAAGATGAGGATAACAGTCCGAATAATGTAAATAACGCAAGTAATCATAATACCTCATCTCAGAGATATAGAGACCGAAACGTTGTGAATATGGCAATGAAAATGAGGATAACGGTCTGAATAATGTAAATAATGTAAGTAATCATAATACCTCATCTCAGAGATATAGACAAAATGCTGAAAGGTTAAATGAATCTGGTTGGAGAAAGAAAGAAAAAACTGGACTGACAAATGGATTCTCCACCATGACACTGTGGTCGAAACGTCGAACTAAGAGCATCTCTCAACATTAAAAGTGTTTTTTAACCTTTCACCTGCACCCACCACCAAAAAAAATGATTAAGTATTTTGTTTTCAACCAATCAGGCTTGTTAATTTAATTGTTTTTTTTTCCTTTTTTTGGTGGGGGGGGTCTGTGTGCGGTTTAGCTATACAAAACATACAATGAATTTTCAATGAAAAACGATGCACGAAATGGCCGACGACCCGTAAGATTTATTTTAGATTTTATGTCTTAATTGCTGTCGAAATTCATTTCTTTTCCGGTACGAGAAAAAATCATTAAAAATTAAAGAAAAAATGGGAGGGTGGGAAGAAGTCTTCAACATTTATAAAATGAGAGTACGAATAGGGGAGAGAAAATGGGTAAGAATAGCCAGGGTGGCAGAAAAGTTTGATCTATAGAAGCAGAAAAGAAAGCAGACGGGTTGATACCCCCCCCCAAAAAAAAAACGAAAGGTAAGAAAAAGGTAAGGAGAAGGATAATGATTGAACAAAGGCAATATGTCTGTGTGTGTGTGTGTGTGTGTGTGTGTGTGTGTGTGTGTGTGTGTGTGTGTGTGTGTGTGTGTGTGTGTAAGAGAAAAAGAAAAGAAAGTAGGTAGAAGACGCGGGAAAGGAAAAGGGTAGAAGAGAGAGGAAATGATAAGAAGAGGATAATGTAATAGTAGAGAGAGAGAATAAAAAAGGATTAGAGAAAGAGAAGATGAGAAAGAGACGGAAATAGAGAAAAGAAAGATAGAAGAAGAAGAAACACTGAAGATAGACGAGAAAGGAATGGAAGAACGTAGAAAGAGAGAGAGAGAGAGAAAGAGGAAAAAATGGATATCAGGAGAACAAAATAACGTAGAGGAAGAAGGGTATCAGGAGAACGAAAGAACTTAGAAAAAGAGAGAGAGAGAGGAAGAAGGGCTATCAGGAGAACGGAAGAACGTGGAAAACAAGAGAGAGAGGAAGAAGGGACGTCAAGAGAACGGAAGAACGTAGAAAAAGAGAGAGAGAGAGGAAGAAGGGCTATCGGGAGAACGAAAGAACTTAGAAAAAGAGAGTATAAATGAAGATATAAGAGGAAGGAGTAGAAGAAGGCAGAAACTGAGAGAGAGGGAGAAGGGAAATAAGGAAAGAGAGAGAGTAACGTAGAAAAAGAGAAAAAGAGAAAGGATTAGAAGGCAGAAAACGACAGAGAGAAGGGAGATAAGGAGAAAGAAGAAAACATTGAGGGAGGGAGAAAAAAATGAAAATAGAAGAGGAAGGATTATAAGATGGCAGAAAAATAGAAAGAGGAAGTAGAGAGATAAGGAGAGAAAAAAAACAGAGAAACTACAGAAAAAAGGAAGAGAGAAGAGGAACAATTAGAAGATGAGAGAGAGAGGGGCGTAAGGAGAGGAAAAAAACGACGAAGAAAAGAGAGACATGAAGATAGAAGAGGAAAAAGAGGTGAGAAGAAAAAATAGATAAGGAAAGAGAAGAATATTAAAAAGAAGAAAGAAAAAAAAATAGAAACACGAGCATTTATTAAAAATGTCAGAAATAGCGATATGCTCTCTTCTTCTGTACAGCCGATTGATTGGTTATCGATTTTCTGAGTTAATTGTCCGTTAGTTGACTGAATTTCTTCATTGATTGATCACTCAGAGTTTAACCTCACCGACCCTACCCTAACAGTGCAAAGACTAACATGTAGACAAGAACACGGTCATACATTAAAATACAAATAAACATCTTGAGGCCGAGACAGAAAGAAGTGCTTGCATGTTTGGCTCAAGTGGTAGAGAAGAGGACATAACACGATAAGACATTTTAAAATCAGTTTTAACTGAAATTTCTTACGACAGTCTTGTTTTATATACTGTAGCCAATCAGGATCATGGCTCTCTACTGTTTCCTATCATTTGTAACACTAAGCAAAGTTCATCTCTTTACTATCTCTTCCTGTCCTTGCTCTGCCAACCATTTACACGAACTGGTTAAGTCGGTTACTAGCTCTTTCTCTTTTTCCCTCTTCAATATGTCTTCAAAGTCTCCAAGATCTCTTTATTTAACCCATTACCTGTCATGAGCCCCATTTAGGGATCTGTTAAAATTAAACTCACTACATGTTATTCCATATATTTACATTAATTTCGTTTTCATTTTTTTTTAAACTTCCGCGTTACTCACATGTTCGGTCTACAGTATTCTCATCATCCTTCTGTAGAACCTGTTGTAGAGTCGCCAGCACCCCTCCAGCACTCTACCAGATAGACTGGCTCATAGCTTTAAATAGTCTACAATTAAGAACTTCAACAGTTGATTAACCCATTACCTGCCATGAGCTCCATTTGGGGATCTGTTTAAATTAAACTCACTACATGTTATATTCTTTGTATTTACATTGAATTGCTTACATACATTGCATTTGCAGAGGTATATTTTACAACGCTTAGCCTTTTTTATTATTAGCCGTAAGAAGACACTTTCTGTCGTAATTTTACATTTCACGAGTAGAAAAATAATGATTACTTTGAAAAGTATTTTTTTATTATTTCTAATCAATATTATTTTTTGATGTTTTATACACATATATATTTGATGTTCTAGTTTCTATAAAAACGACAAACTACTGAAATTAAACATAAGGAATAAATAAACTTCTAAGACATCTATCTGGGCCAAAAATGTGATTAAAATAATTTGGCAGTTAATGGATTAATATGCATCTCGAAAATTTCAACAAAAATTTTCTAAGGATAGGTTTTCTTTTCCTTTCCATTTTCCTTGCAGTAGAGAAGAGGACATAACACGATAAGAGTTTTAAAAGTCAATCTTCTTTTTTTACAGTAAGGTTCACCCTGTAAAAGACCCGAGGGCCACTCGAGGTAGAGGATTAAGTTAAGTGGTAGTTTATATGGATTAACTGTTATCTTTCCCATGTATCACCATAAAAGTATGTCTCTTATTCTGTAACGCTTTAAGTTCAGTGGCTTCACGCCTTGTAGAGGCTGAACATCATTGTAAACGAAATGGAGCTGCTAGACCAGAACATTAATCATTAAGGCAAGGCATGGGAGATTCTTAGCTTTTTAAAAAAAATCAATAAAATACATAAGTATGGACAAGCTATAACATAAGTAATAGCCAATTTTATGGGTTTTTTTTCTATTTGATTAATAAGCAATATTAAAAGGCATCAAATTCAACTGGGAAAAAATAACTGTATTACTTTATATAATTGCTGTTTGAAGAAAAATATACTGAAAAAACAAACAAAAATCCTAATATGCAATTATGCTGTTTTAATATTTAATGTCAACGTCGGACGTTTCGGTCTAATAGACCATCTTCAGGACATATTCATAAAACATAATTAACATAGACCATATACAATTCAACATGAAAAAGATGGACATAAAGCAATAACAATCCAATCTTTTTCATGTTGAATTGTATATGGTCTATGTTAATTATGTTTTATGAATATGTCCTGAAGATGGTCTATTAGACCGAAACGTCCGACGTTGACATTAAACATTAAAACAGCATAATCGCATATTAGGATTTTTGTTTGTTTTTTTCAGTATATTTTTCTTCATACTGTCGGATCTATATCCATATATTTGCTTACATAATTACTGTTTGTAAATGTTCTGGATTTTTCCAAATAAATAAAGTTTTCCGAGCAGTTCAAATACATTTTGCTTCGTGCAATATTAAATGCTTTTCTGTCGTCTGTTATTCATATGATAAAGTTAAATTTCTCTTGAAATTAGTTTTCGCTTAACATTTTCTTCCTATCAAAAACTAGGCATCATTTTATTCATCATATTGAACTATGTGATTCCATTTTTTTCTCGCCAAGACTTCCCAGCTATGACGTCATAAAGATGGCTGCCAGGTTATTTTAACTATTCGCATTAATTTAGCATAACTCATCAAACATTTGAGCTAAAGGGATGATTTTTTTAATGTGGCAAATAAAATTTGCAAACGTCAATTTACAGTTGAATTGGCTAAATGCAACCGTAATTTCTATGCTAGCAGTTTCTTCTATCGCACTTCTCACTTGTGGAATTCTCTTCCGACTTCTTGCTTGCCGGCCAAATTTTAACTTCAAATATTTAAATGCAATTTCAATTGCTATCTACTGTCTTCCTGATTACACTTTAATATTTCTGTTTTTTTAATTTTTCCACACCTTATGTCTTAGTGGCTTTACTGCCTTGCTTGGGGTAAATTCGATTAAAAAAAAGCTCAACTGACAATGAAATGATAAAAAAAAAAAATAACGTAGCTTCCTTGAGCCTTTTCTGTAAATACTTTCATGGCAATTGTTCTGATGAGATTTACAGTTGAAATGGATAAATGCAACCGTAAGAACTATGCTAACTGTTTCTTCTGTTGAACTTCTCGTCTGTGGCGATATATTTTAGACTCTTGCTTTGCAGTTAACTGTGATCTTTAAAAACATTAAATTGAATGTAAATCATCTTTTGTCATCTTAATTCTTATTCTTTTATTGTCCTCTCTCTTTAATGGGAGTTTTTTTAATCATATTCTCTAAAACACAGTAACCTTTTTCGTTTTAGTGGCTTTACTGCTTTGTTCGCGGTGAAAAGATTTTTTTTTTAAAAAAAAGGTATTTTCTTATTCATATATTTACGGAAATCTAATTTTTTTTTTTCTGAAAATTTACTTAAACAAAAATATCAGTATTCTTGTTCGCGAAGTGCAATTTTAATCTTAATCTTATTCAAATAAAAAAACTAATTATAAACAAATGACCTCAAGAAAAAGTTTTCCTAAGGTTTCAGAAAATATATGATGAGTTTTATAATAATTTTGAGGCAACTATTAACGAAATCTACGTTATCGTTCAGATTTTTAGAATTAAATGATTACGGGGATTATATGGTATATTCGTCTAAGATCCGGGGCAGGTTTATTTACATCGAAGAGTGCAAAAAGGCGTATGAAGGTTGAACGTAATACTTCGCTAACAAGAACGCCGATTTTTTATGTTAAAGTAAAATTTTCAGAAAAGCTATTAGATTTCCAGAAATATATGTACATGAGTAAAAACGTTTGCATATTTAATTTGGAACATTAAAAAAAAAATAAAAAACATCACTCGAGCTCAAATGGGTGAAGAGTTATGTGAAGAGCAGCCATCTTGATGACGTCATAGTTTGGAAGCCTGACCGCCCAAAAAATTAAAATCATATTTTTTAACTTTCTTATAAGGTGTAATTTAACGTTTTAGCGTGGAATTTGCTTGTAACATTTCGTGCACAATGAATTATAAATCTTTCTGCATTTGTACTGCACGCTCTGATACGACGAGTTTATCATTCCAAAGTGAGGTGCTTTTTTTTAAATCATTTCACCCCAAACATGGCAATAAAGCCATTAAGATGCAAGGGGTTACTGAATGTGAGAAAATATGTGAACAAAACTTTAAGGAAAAAGAACAATAAAAGTGCATGAATTAAGAAGACAGACGACAACGATTGACATCGCCTTTAAATTTTCGAAGATCAAAGTTGACAGGGAAGCAAGAAACCGGACGAGAATTCCACAAGTGAGAAGTGCGAGAGAAGAAACTGTTAGCATAGAACTTACGGTTCCATCTAGCCATTTCAACTATAAAATGATAAGTTGATTAGTTAATTGGTTGGTTGGATTTGTTTAGCGGCATATCAACCTCTATGGATCTTTTATAATCATTTCACTCCAGGCAAGGGGCAATAAAGCCACTAGGACGTAAGGGGGTTACTATATGTTAAAGAATATGAGAAAAAATATTATTAAAGCGAGAGAACAATAAAAGAACAGAAATTAAGAAGACAGACGACAACGACTGACATCGCATTTAAATTTTTCAAGATCAAAGTTGACTGGAAAGCAAGAAACCGGAAGAGTGTTCCACAAGTGAGAAGTGCAAGAGAAGAAACTGTTAGCATAGAACTTACGGTAACACCTAGCCATTTTAACTGTAAGATGATGAGGCCTTGCCGCCAATCTAGTACTGAGCTTAAATTTATTAAGTCTAGGTACCATAGAGGAAGATTCATCACAACAATTACCATGAAAATATTTATAGAAAAGGCACAGAGAAGCTAGGCTTCGGCGGTGCGAAAGAAACTGAAGCCAAGCTGCCAGGTCAGAACCATTAACATTGCAGATTCTTTGTATTTTATAGAGAATTACTTATAAATATGTAAGATAGATTCTGTTGTGAAAAATTGTCTAACACAACACTGTGAACCAACTTTATTAGCAGCAGATTTAGTAATTGATGCAATATAATCTTTCCACTTCATGTTAGCGGAAAAAGTAAGCCGAAGATGACGTAATGAGTCACTGTCCAGGCCATGCTGATAGAAAGCTAAAAAGGTTCTCCCGGACGATAAAAAGAGCGTAGTTTCGTTTTAGAAGCGTTAAATGTAACAATCCATTCCTTGCCCCAGTTAACAATAGATTGTAGGCCATTTTTTAGATCAGCTGCCAATTTGACTTCATCAAACCGATCAGACTTAATATTATTAAATATCTGTGAATATGCAAGAATCCTTTCTCTCAAATACACGTAAAACTTCAATAAAGAAAACAAAGACTTCTGATTATAGAGGTTTACAAGGCCGGATCAATAAATCCATAGTATGGCGCATAAATATTAGTGGAATTTTGAGCTGAAATTTTCA